CTATATACACACAGAGCGAGCCGGGCTCTATATATACACAGCTAGAGATCTCACTCAGTCTATATACACACACAGAGCAAGCCGGGCTCTATATATACAGCTAGAGATCTCACTCAGTCTATATACACACAGGGCGAGCCGGGCTCTATATATACACAGCTAGAGATCTCACTCAGTCTATATACACACAGAGCGAGCCGGGCTCTATATATACAGCTAGAGATCTCACTCAGTCTATATACACACAGAGCAAGCCGGGCTCTATATATATACAGCTAGAGATCTCACTCAGTCTATATACACACAGAGAGGGAAACAGAGTGAGCCGGGCTCTATATATACAGTTAGAGATCTCACTCAATCTATATACACACAGAGCGAGCCGGGCTCTATATATACAGCTAGAGATCTCACTCAGTCTATATACACACACAGAGCGAGCCGGGCTCTATATATACAGCTAGAGATCTCACTCAGTCTATATACACACACACAGAGCGAGCCGGGCTCTATATATACAGCTAGAGATCTCACTCAGTCTATATACACACAGAGCGAGCTGGGCTCTATATATACAGCTAGAGATGTCACTCAGTCTATATATACACAGAGCGAGCCGGGCTCTATATATACAGCTAGAGATCTCACTCAGTCTATATACACACAGAGAGGTAAATACAGAGCGAGCCGGGCTCTATACATACAGCTAGAGATCTCACTCAGTCTATATACACACAGAGCGAGCCGGGCTCTATATATACAGCTAGAGATCTCACTCACTCTATATATACACAGAGAGGGAAACAGAGCGAGCCGGGCTCTATATATACAGCTAGAGATCTCACTCAGTCTATATACACACACAGAGCGAGCCGGGCTCTATATATACAGCTAGAGATCTCACTCAGTCTATATACACACAGAGAGGGAAACAGAGCAAGCTGGGCTCTATATACACAGCTAGAGCTCTCAGTCTATATACACACACACAGAGGTAAACAGAGCGAGCCGGGCTCTATATATACACAGCTAGAAATCTCACTCAGTCTATATACACACACACAGCGAGCCGGGCTCTATATATACAGCTAGAGATCTCACTCAGTCTATATACACACAGAGCAAGCCGGGCTCTATATATACAGCTAGAGATCTCACTCAGTCTATATACACACAGAGCAAGCCGGGCTCTATATATACAGCTACAGATCTCACTCAGTCTATATACACACACAGAGCGAGCCGGGCTCTATATATACAGCTAGAGATCTCACTCAGTCTATATACACACAGAGAGGGAAACAGAGCAAGCCGGGCTCTATATACACAGCTAGAGATCTCACAGTCTATATACACACAGAGAGCGAGCCGGGCTCTATATATACAGCTAGAGATCTCACTCAGTCTATATATACACACAGAGAGGTAAATACAGAGCGAGCCGGGCTCTATATATACAGCTAGAGATCTCACAGTCTATATACACACAGAGAGCGAGCCGGGCTCTATATATATATATATATATATATATATATATATATATATATATATATATATATATATATATATATATATATATATATATATATATATACAGCTAGAGATCTCACTCAGGCTATATATACACACAGAGAGGTAAATACAGAGCGAGCCGGGCTCTATATATACAGCTAGAGATCTCACAGTCTATATACACACAGAGCGAGCCGGGCTCTATATATACACAGCTAGAGATCTCACTCAGTCTATATACACACAGAGCGAGCCGGGCTCTATATATACACAGCTAGAGATCTCACTCAGTCTATATACACACACACAGAGCGAGCCGGGCTCTATATATACAGCAAGAGATCTCACTCAGTCTATATACACACAGAGAGGGAAACAGAGTGAGCCGGGCTCTATATATACAGCTAGAGATCTCACTCAATCTATATACACACAGAGCGAGCCGGGCTCTATATATACAGCTAGAGATCTCACTCAGTCTATATACACACAGAGTGAGCCAGGCTCTATATATACAGCTAGAGATCTCACTCAGTCTATATAAACACAGGACGAGCCGGGCTCTATATATACAGCTAGAGATCTCACTCAGTCTATATACACAGAGCGAGCCGGGCTCTATATATACAGCTAGAGATCTCACTCAGTCTATATACACACACAGAGCGAGCCGGGCTCTATATATACAGCTAGAGATCTCACTCAGTCTATATACACACAGAGCGAGCTGGGCTCTATATATACAGCTAGAGATGTCACTCAGTCTATATATACACACAGAGAAGTAAACACAGAGCGAGCCGGGCTCTATATATACAGCTAGAGAGCTCACTCGGTCTATATACACACAGAGAGGGAAACAGAGCGAGCCGGGCTCTATATACACAGCTAGAGCTCTCAGTCTATATACAAACACAGAGCGAGCCGGGCTCTATATATACAGCTAGAGATCTCACTCAGTCTATATATACACACAGAGAGGTAAACACAGAGCGAGCCGGGCTCTATATATACAGCTAGAGAGCTCACTCGGTCTATATACATACAGAGCGAGCCAGGCTCTATATATATACAGCTAGAGATCTCACTCAGTCTATATACACACAGAGCGAGCCGGGCTCTATATATACAGCTAGAGATCTCACTCAGTCTATATACACACAGAGCAAGCCGGGCTCTATATATACAGCTAGAGATCTCACTCAGTCCATATACACACAGAGAGGGAAACACAGAGAGCGAGCCGGGCTCTATATATACAGCTAGAGATCTCACAGTCTATATACACACAGAGCGAGCCGGACTCTATATATACACACAGCTAGAGATCTCACTTAGTCTATATAGACACACAGAGTGAGCCGGGCTCCATATATACAGCTAGAGATCTCACAGTCTATATACACACTGAGAGCGAGCCGGGCTCTATATATACAGCTAGAGATCTCACAGTCTATATACACACTGAGAGCGAGCCGGGCTCTATATATACAGCTAGAGATCTCACAGTCTATATACACACAGAGCGCGAGCCGGGCTCTATATATACAGCTAGAGATCTCACAGTCTATATACACACAGAGCGAGCCGGGCTCTATATATACAGCTAGAGATCTCACAGTCTATATACACACACAGAGTGAGCCGGGCTCTATATATATACACAGCTAGAGATCTCACTCAGTCTATATACATACAGAGAGGGAAACACAGAGCGAGCCGGGCTCTATATATACAGCTAGAGATCTCACAGTCTATATACACACACAGAGTGAGCCGGGCTCTATATATACAGCTAGAGATCTCACTCAGTCTATATACACACAGAGAGGGAAACAGAGCAAGCCGGGCTCTATATATACACAGCTAGAGATCTCACTCAGTCAATATACACACAGAGAGCGAGACGGGCTCTATATATACAGCTAGAGATCTCACTCAGTCTATATACACAGAGCGAGCCGGGCTCTATATATACAGCTAGAGATCTCACTCAGTCTATATACACAGAGCGAGCCGGGCTCTATATATACAGCTAGAGATCTCACTCAGTCTATATACACAGAGCGAGCCGGGCTCTATATATACAGCTAGAGATCTTACTCAGTCTATATACACACACAGAGCGAGCCGGGCTCTATATATACAGCTAGAGATCTCACTCAGTCTATATATATACACAGAGCGAGCCGGGCTCTATATATACACAGCTAGAGATCTCACTCAGTCTATATACACACTACAGAAGCTGACGGGCTCTATATATACAGCTAGAGATCTCTCTCACTCTATATATATACACAGAGCGAGCCGGGCTCTATATATACACAGCTAGAGATCTCACTCAGTCTATATACACACAGAGAGGGAAACAGAGCGAGCCGGGCTCTATATACACAGCTAGAGCTCTCAGTCTATATACACACAGAGAGCGAGCCGGGCTCTATATATACAGCTAGAGATCTCACAGTCTATAAACACACA